AGGGGAATCCCCCCCCCCCCCCCCTCCCCCCCCCTTGCCCTTCCAAGGACGGAACCCCACACCCGAAGATTGCGGCCATCCAAGAACGCGACCGGAAGAACGTGTACGACCTGTCGGTGTCGACCAACCTCGAGGAGGTCGGCACGCCGAGGTTTGCGGCCAAGCTCGACGAGCTGGGGCGGCCGTGGGACGTCGACGACTTCGGGGGTCCCGCGGGTGGGGGGGGGGGGGAGGGCGATTTCACCGGCTCCTTCTTGGAGACGGGGGTGAGGCTTGCTCTTTGGTCCGATTGTGTTGTAGATCTGTTTTTGCTGTGCTATGTTGTGTTTGTCGCGGTGCGCAATGTGAATGTTGATGTTGTTGGGGGCCTTTTTTTTGTTTTTTTTGCCTGTTTGCGCACTTGCAGCGATCGCAGGGAACAGGTGGCGGCTCGTGAACCATCCCTATATCAAGCAACAGCAGTGTATGTAGCGACCCGTATGCTTCAACTCCTTTTGTCTCTCTTTCTCTTCCCCTTGTCGTCTCTTTATTGTTTTCTCCTGTTTTCTCTCCCCGGTGTCCTCTCTCTTTTTTTTTTTTTGTGCAGGTTGGGGAGGAGTCTTGCGGCACCCCGGAGATATCGTCGAAGCCCCTCTTCCTTTACAACCGCGGGGCGGGGAAGACGAAGCCACCCCCCGCCACCAGCAACGACAACAACGACAACGACGGCGACGACGACGACGACGACAACAGTAGCAGCAGCAGCAGCAGCCCGGTGGGAGCAGGGGCGGCAGTGGCGTAGTCTCCTCTCAATTGGCACATCAGGCGAACGAGCATGTCCGCGTACACAAGCCCCGCCCCTGGAGTAGCCGGCATTGGAGCTGGTTCCCTGGCTGTTTGGGGGACGGGGGGGGGGCTCACGTTTTTTCATGCCTTGGTTGTTAGACCATTGACCATGCGTCCTCGAGAGGACGGGACATGGTTGTATGGGGGGTGGGGGGGCGCTTTTGTTGTCGTTTTCGGGCTATATGGCGAGGGAGGTCCCTGATGTTCTTGCCACGGCGCCCCCGCGATGGTGGACTTGCCCTGAGTCGAAGTTGACTTCTTGTATGTGGTACGCGACGGCACCGCGTGTGGTCAGGGCTCAATTTGTTGGGGGCCCAGGTTCAATTTGTCGTGCTTCTTCGTGTGCTGTTTCTCAGCAGCAGCAACAGCGGCGGAGCCGGGTACAGCAGGTGGGTGTGTGAACTGTTGGTGGCTGTGGCGTGTTGTCTTGTGGTTTCACCGGGGGACACACACCACCAGCCGTCAAGGAGAGACGATCGGCAGCATTCGCATTTTTTATCCCGCTAGTTTTTTGCGCGCAAGCCTTGTATCCGAGATAAGAGCAGCAGCAGGAGAGCGCCTCGCTCACTGCTATTCTATTGCTCACCCGAAAACT